AAACGTAATTTTTTTGAGTGTGCGAGAGTTTTTGGTAGTGTGTGAGAGACAAAACGTAAATTTTGTCCTAAACGGCCCCTCATATTTTTCTCACTACTCATCTGAGTCACTTTCTGCTTCCCATCTTACCGATCACTACATCTTATACATTTGCAATCCCATCATTGATATCATTGTTCAGTATGAATTCATTATTGATATTTTTAGCATTCAGCCCTTCAGTTATCTACAATTTTGACTGGGGTTGCATCACCCTAATATCAAATCCCTCTGTATTGTTATAATAAATTTATTTCCAATAAGAAAGGAATCTTCTCCATTAATGTTAAAGTGATTATGTTTGACATTAATCTGTCTAGAAGAAAACTTTCTGACCGCACTGAGACATGATCTTACTGTTAATTCTTCTAATTTAGGGGCTTGGGGTGTTCTGTCCAATCTCAGGTATTTTTGACAATCGTTGCAAATTGTTCCTTTTAACTAGAGACGTTATAACGCAGGAGGGTTTCTTACCATTTCAGTCTTTGCAGCCCTGCAAAAGTACATAAATGTGATGCATGGATTTGAATAATTATGTTGTTTTTATAATCTAATGAGGACCTAGGAAAAAGAACCTATTTGCATCAGGTCATTTGCACATCCACTGTCAAACATTTGAGCCGCATTTACGTAGTTGTGTCTACTGTCTTTTACTCTTTAAGACATAAATTTAGCTAGTTTTAGATTTTGAACCTGAATGTGAGTTTGTGAAAGATAAACTTAAAAGTAGTAAGTTGTGTTAACTTCTTATTAATAAACTAGGGTTTTATGTTAGCACCTAAAAAAAATTGAAAGAAAAAAAAAAAAAGACAGGAGTGGGAACTATTTCCCAGAATGCTTAGCGGCTTGTTTTTGTATCCTGAGATGGAAATGCACATTGATCTGACTCCTGTGTTATTAATGCAAATGTTTATGTTAAAGCTTGAGGATAATATCCCCTTCACAATAAATGTTCTTAGCAGAATTTATTGTGATGTTTAATAAAATTCATCATCAGATCAGAAATTTTGTTTGTGCAATTTGAAACAAGAATTTAAATTATTCTACAGCAAAATAAGTATTTATTTTAGCTTGGTAAGGTGAGTGAAAATAATAGAGAAATGTGTCTTTAACTAGGTGAGAACGTTTGTTTCTATTGCATATTGTGAAATAATTGTTTGGTTCAAATTGCAGCACTAAGTTAAAACTCACAATTCAAGATTAATGAGCTTAAAAACAATGTTTACACAACTTGTCTCTAGTTGTTAAATCAACTTCATGAACTTTAATTTCTGAGTTAAAACCAAAACAGTTTTCTTGTTAAGTTAAATTACATTTTCCAGGCAGCAGGTGGACGTTCATTTTCAAGTTAAACCACTTTCAAATGTTCTAGAGTGTATAATTTCTTCAGTATTCATTTCAACCAGCATTTTCTCACACACAAAGCATTTAGTACATACAGTCTGTGTTACCCATTGTGTGCTCTTCACCAACTGAGATATTTCTCAGAACCTTCACTCAATGCTGCCTTTTTTGTCTTTCTGTGAACTGAGTCATCCTTCTTCAATGAAAACCTTTTCAACGCAACAATGCACAACACAGGCTCACCCAGCCAAACCACTAAGATCTCTCTATCTACATGTAAAGATTGCTTTGTTTTTTTTTTTCCACAACAGCTACAGTTTCTTCCACAGCTTCTTTTCTTGGTGTTGCAACACCAAAAATGGGATTTTCCCCTCTCTTAACCATGTCAGACACTTACAAGCTGGAAACTTAAAATGTGTTGGTATTGTTATTCATAATTTTTAATATTAAATGAATCATCTTTATAAATCCAGGATAAATGTATTTGTTAACCTTTTTTTCTGTTAGAAATATTGAATAAAGTTCAGATCTCATAAAATATTTCTCTTCCAGCATTTTTGTGCCATAACCCACGGTTGCCATCACCTTCAGCCTACAGTCTGTTTTCTTCACTGAAGTCAACAAACAACCAATAATGTGGGTAAATGTCTCTCTGTCATTATCTACCATAAAACATATTACAAAGTCTACTGTACTGATCCCAGTTAAAGAAAGTTAAACAATCACACAATCTGAGATGTTTACAAAATCAATCAAGTTCAATCTGGTATATTTGCAGATGTTTTGCAAATAAAATTAAATTCAGACGATAGACTCCCAGTTAAGAAGACTGCATCCTGAAATTGAACCAAAAGATGATTTAAAAGGCATCCTAACTTAACCAGCTGAGTTTCTGCAGCATTTTCTGTGTTTTTCCCCTCAAACAGATGAATTTTAAAAGTGAATAAAGTCATTTTTAATTGTCTTTTTTTTTTAATCACAAAAGCCTGGCACATCAATGGAGGCGTGTAAACTTTTTATATCCACTGTCCATTTATTTCTGGGTTTTTTGACGCTGTCTGGGGTTTTAACGTATTTTCTCCCCACAGGAGCTTTCAGAGGTCAAAGACAATTTGGAAATTCCTGTTTTTATTTCCGATTGCAACATCCATCATGTTCTTTGCACCGCCATCAGTTCGGTGAGTTATTAAATGATCCTGGCATTAAAATGGTGTTAAGAGACCTGACTAATTTGTCAGATCTGTAATAACTCAAATGTTGTGAGTCACAAATAACTCATGTGAAGGTAAACGTGGTTTCATGAAACACAATTTTGCTCTTGTTTTGCATCACATACATAAAGGTAAAACTCAAATCCTAGACTAGATTTTCACCAATCAAGCCAAAGAGATCAGATTCAGACTCAATGAAAACTAAGAACTCCCATCTTCTTCTGCCTATAAGCACGTCAGCTAACAGCATGTAACCTCATACAAGATTTTAGAGCCTATAATGCATCAGCATTAGTTCAAAATTTAAAGTAAAAAACAAGTTTTCTCTGATTTCAGATTCTTAATTGGACTCATTCCAATGGACAAGTGCACTCTGGAAAGTGTAGAGATGCTGACCTCAGGTAATAGTGCAGACTCAAGCCTCGACCTGTGGTAAGACGACTAAACCTCTAGTTCTGCATACAACAGACTTCATGAGAAACAAGCATTTCTCATGAAATCGTAATCTGCAGTTTCTCACCACCAAGTTTATCTGCAGTCAATATTTGCTGCTACCTGAATGACTTGCACAAGTTGTAATTTTAGGTTGCTTTCTGTGTGTTGCTTTAAATGTGTTCATGTTGTGAGCAGAGCAAGACTTGTATTTAGATTAACAAAATTCGATTAACATAAGCATTAAATTGACATTGAAGGTCAGATCTTGTGAAACTTATTTTAAGAAATGTAATTAGTAGGCAATTTGTGTGTAGAATACCAACTGAAGAAGCTAAATCAATAACGATGCATGTAACATTAAATACATATGTTGAGAACATTATGATTTTTGAAAGATATTTGGCCCTTTTAGAGTGTAGATATTTGGTTTGGCTGCTCAGGCCTTCAGAAAACAACATTTTAACACTTCATGAGCTTGGTAAGTTATCTAACGGCGTTCAAACAGCAGCTCCGCTGTACAGAAAGTAGTCCAAAAATGAGAAACATCCAAACATTGCGTCCAATCAAATTCAACCCAACACCCGATGGCAAAAGACTAGAAGCAGCTTGCAAAGAGCTCTAAATGTCCCTGCAGGATGTGTGAAACTTGAGCTGCTTTTTCTTGTAATTTGCATTCCTGTTAAAAGAGGCGGAAACTCTCCAGGCACTATTTACTTATTTATTATTTTCAACGTCCTCCTTTGTTTCAGGTCTCGAAATGATGTGCAAACATGCACTTCCTGGAAGGCTCCCATCATCTGGGAGGGAATGTTTACTCCCAGTCATTACGACCAGATACACAGAAACAAAGGATCCTCTGTTGCCTTGACTGTGTTTGCAGTTGGCAGGTTGGTTTTCAACAGGCTGAACAACAAAACACATATCGGTCATATCAGTTTCATATCGGTCAATATTGACAATTATTGATTTAGTTTTTTTGTTCTAAATATTTGAAATACTTCCACACTGGTTGAATAAACTTTCCCGTTTGATCCGTAGCTTCCTCTCCAGCTGTTGTACTTATTTTCTCCTTTCACTCCATGCCGTTGTTTTTTATTTTTAAGCAGTTACGAGACATTGTGAGAAAACCTTAAACTATTGCTGCGCAAGTTGCTCCACAGGTTGTTGCTAGGTAACGAAAGAGTGAGCGAGTTGCTAGGCAACTAAAGAGGAGTGATTTCTGAGCTTCCCAAAGAGCCTTAAACTCTGGCTGGGGACGTACTTTGCAAACCCACAGAAAATACCACAAAATAATAATTAATACAACCAATAATTACCGATTATGCCGATTTAGATGCCGATTTTAGATGGTGGAAAATTTTATTGTCAGATAATATGACTTTATTACCAGATGCTACAAATTTTTGTCACAATCCCCTCTTTTGATTATGAGTAAATATGTAATATTTTATACTAATCACATAAAATTTAATTTTATTCCCACAGTTCTTCTGGTTTCTGCAGCAGTGTTCTCCACAGCTGGATGGTTTCTTTTCTTGTCAGTAACTTTTCCATAAGAAAATGAAATAACATTTAAATCAATTATTTTAGCTTATGTTTTAAAAACTGACTGAATAACAACAACAAAAAAATGATGATGAAAAAATTAAGATTTAAACATTTATGGGATTTTTTTGCATTTTCTGCCTCATCCTTCCCTCTGACTTTTTAAGCCCCCATAACGTCGTTTGAAAAACACTGTCCTCAGCTGATTGATGCTACCAAACTAGCTTGGCTTGCCATGACAGGTGGAGTGGCTGAAACCTTTTTCTCCCACAATGCTGTGTGGTTCTGGATCAGAGTTCAACAAGTCTGAACAATCAGTGGTCCGCTCTTGTGGCACCAACAGGTAGAAGGATGGGGTTGATCCTCCGTCCCTTTCATCCTTGTTGTCAAAATATTGCATGTGTACTTCTACTGAGGCATTAAGTTTTTCTTTGTCAAATCCTGTTTAACTTCACAGTCTGGTTCCCATATTCGTCTTGTTTTGGACCAGTGGATATTCCTGTAACTTTCTTGACTTTCCCTGAACTTTCTGGTTTGTCTGTTTTTTTAAACAGGTCGTTGAAGTAACAGGTCTAAACACATGCAGGTGTGAAACAACCTTACAGTTGAAGAAAAATAGACAGAAATAAAAATACAGTGTAATAATGATTACAAACATGCAAACAAGCAAAAATACTCAATTTAATCATCAGGCTCCTAAACACATTAATAATGAATTTCTACCAACACGTTTTTGCACACAGTGGTTTAAATGGTCATTGTTCACCAGTGGGAAACTTATCTGACTTTTCAGTCTCAGTCTGTCTGACAAAATGGAGCAAATCCATAATTATTCATAAAATAGCTGACAGAGACGGAGAATGTGGCTTTTTTTACACTGTTGTCATAGCAACTCCATAGCAACTGGATACCTACCAAGATGGCTGTCAGCTGCAAAATTCCCAGGAGTGTGACATCATATGGATATTGATCCATATGAAACATAATATTCCCATGTCCAAGGCAATATTATTGATTGATTATCCAGTCCCAATGTTAGAGCACATCCTGGTTTCCACCACAGGAAGATAAATGCTGACATCTTGTTTCCGCAGGTACCTGGACGCCTACCTGGAGACCTTCCTGAACTCATCAGAGCAACACTTCATGTCGAGTTTGCCCGTGACATACTACGTGTTTACGGACTCGCCTGAGTTGGTGCCGAACATCAAGCTTGCCCCCAATCGGCACCTGAAAGTAATCGAAGTGGAGAGGCACACGCGGTGGCAGGACATCTCCATGATGAGGATGAAGGCGATATCAGACGTCATCGAGTCGGATATCCGCCACCACGCCACGCACGTCTTCTGCTTTGACGTCGATCAGGTGTTCACCGGCAGATTTGGCCCCGAAGCTCTGGGAGACTCGGTGGCTCTGCTTCACGCCCACTACTATCACCTCCCAAGGATGCTGTTCACCTACGACCACAACCCGAAATCCAAGGCGTTCATGAAAACTGGGGATTTCTACTACCACGCTGCCATCTTCGGAGGCTCCTGGAGGAGCGTGAAGGCGCTGACGGAGGCCTGCTACCGCAGCATCATGGCGGATAAGGAGAACGAAGTGGAGGCCTTGTGGCACGACGAGAGTCATTTGAACAAGTACTTTTGGCTTCACAAGCCCAGCAGGGTTCTCTCTCCAGAGTACTGCTGGGACACCAGCATCGGCTACAGGAGCGACATACAGGTGTACCGGCTGCTGTGGGCACCCAAAGACTACTATAACCTGAGGACGTCATAGATTAACACTCTCATTTGTTTTATTTGGATCAAAATTTGTTACAAAAAATTATATGTTGGGAATAATCTCAGAAATTTTTCCATTAAAATCTGAGATCTCAGAAATGTTCTAAAGAAAAATTTTGAGCAATTTTTTGTTTTTGAAACTCAGAAAATTTCCAATAGGCAAAAATTTTCAATATCACTCTAGTAAATTTCAGGTTCCTCAAAATGTCCTCCTCTTTTTTGTCTTTGTACGATTGCCCTATGACAGCGTCGCTTCCTACATCACCTTCTTAAACTTTTATTTAACCAGAATAAAACTCATTGAGATCTATTCAGAGATGTTAGTCATGTTGACAGTGAAAAATAATATATAATAATTTACATCGTTTCACATATTTATAATGAAATATTCTGCACTGAAACCTCAAATACTGGACTCAAGTCAGCATCATATTTTTGTATTTATGGAACTTTTGGACATGTTTATCAATTTTCTGTCTAAGACAGCTTGAAATAAATGAATGTAAAACCTTTGAAATAAATAAAATATGGCAATGCTTTCATCTTTTCTTTGCCGTTTTTGAGAAAGCATACATAACATAGTGCAGGAAGTGCTCAGAGAAAAAGAGGTCACAACCACAGTGGAGCTCATTCAGTTTTTGGTCTTGTTTTTGCTTGTGGTTTTAACAAAAACAACCCCAGTGGAAATTTTGCTTTTCCTGCTGTAACACATCTATCTGATGGTAAGTTTTTCACCTCATACAAACTGAGTCGTATGAGCCTAAGCAAAAATAAAGTCCAAATGATTTCCCTATGACCGCTCCTCGCCAACTGTGGTGGGAAAACACAGGACAAATCACTTTAAATTACACGGCAAACACAATAGTTTCAGCGCAGTTTTATCATATTTTAGATAGAAAAGCTCAGGGAGCTGTATTTTCAGAGGCAACGAGACCAGAATCTGGACTTGACTTGTCTGAGAGACTCTGCAGTGAAGTCAGGTTGAGGTAGCCGAGCTCCGTGGTTCGATTCAAGGCCACAGAAGCTGCAATGTCAGGGGAGAAAATCAGATCCGACCGCTTGGCGTCGCACTCTGGAGGAGCCTCCGAAAGGTCCTGAATCTCAGACAGCATCATCCTTTAAAAACAGGAAGCACACAAACATCACATTTATTCTACCAATCAGACGTTTGACCAGCTAGTTCGGACTCTGAGTCAGCCTCACCTCGCTGTCTGAACCGAGACGGGAGAAAGTTTCTGTGGGAGAGTCGACATTTTCTGAAGTTCCTAACAAAGTCAAACCAAAACATGAGGTTTGTTATTAATTATTCTTTTGGCCAAGGGCGTAATTTGTGACACTTTGGATAAATATTTTATGCCGGTAAGCAGAGCAAGCATAACAGTAGCCAAACAAAAACACAGTCTAGCACTTCTGGTTATCTGGAACAAATCTTATCAGAATCCACAGCACAGAACTGAGCTAAAGAAAAGAAGAAAAAAAAACAGAGAAAACGAAACTTCATGCTGCGTAAAACCGCATCGCAGCTTCAAATGTCAATGAAAGGAAAAATGATTGGTTAAAAGTCAAAGGTTAGTATATTCCTTATTTATTTTCATGTATTGCATAATTCATAAAACATTAGATATTATTCACTTTTTCTATCTACATCATACTTACTATGAGATAAAATAACTTTACTCTGGAAAATTCAGATTAGTTTAGACAATCCCTATAAAAACTAATTAGCTTTTGTGGCTTTCACTGAACAGAATCAGTCGGCATGTTTGACAAGAATTTGTTCTAAAAAAAAAAAAAAAGCAGCAGTTTTGCAATATAAATTAGTTTTAAACTAATTTTCAACCTCTCAGCCACTTTGATACTAAAAGAAACTAAAAAAATGCATGCTTGAGTTTACTTTCACTCTGTAGTTGAATGATTGGTTTTGACTTGAGGCTAATTGGAGGTTTAAGTTCATCTCTGTTTATCTGTTCAACAGTTTCACCTCCGTTAAACTTTTCATTCTGCGATTCTAGCACAGTTTTTCTTTAATGCATCTATTAAGACCTGCAGAACATTTTTATTTCAATGTATTTTAATAATAAAACACATTTAAGTTTGACTTGTTAAATATAATGTGCTACATAATGTGTAATGGTCTATGTCGCATAAATTAGGCTTCTTAAGTTCTTAAATTAATGTTGACAAAACCCCGTCTTACTAATATTGTTCTAAACTGGGTTTTTTATGGAGTTGTGGATTTTTAACAGTGACACTTACCTCAGTAAAATGCATAAACTGCATGTTCTGCAACTTGCGTTCCAGAGTGGAAATCTGGTTGGACATCTGCAGAACTTTGTTCCCCAGATTCTTGTTCTCCGTCTCTAAATACTGCACCCTTCAGACGGAAACAAACACACATCAGAACAAGACTTCTGGGCCGGAAGAACCCGTCGCAAACAACGGCTGGCAGTGTAAATTTAAAATCCTCACGTAAATGTGATGCATTTCCTAATCACAACCTTAGAAACTACATAATTTCTTAATTATTCTTCTTTATACCACTGAAAATCAAAGCCAGAAAGTAAACGCGTGTCACTGTCACATCTTATGAATGAGCATTATCTAGCTCTGCTTCAGGTGATGTCCTCTGATCGCAACTTAAAACATAACGCTGAATTTTAGTGGATGGTTCGGCACCTGTTTTGGGACACACAGGCTGTTAATTTGATGTTTTTCATGTTGTCGTCCTCCTCACTGAGCTGCTGTAACAGCTTCCTCCTCTCGCTAAGCAGCCGCTCGTTTTCCACTCTTATGCACTCAACGACTTCTTTCTCCTGGAACAAAAACAGTAAAGTTAGAGTTCAGCATCCTCGTCTTTACAAGAGGAATATGACTCAGACAATGCGGTCGATACAGGAAGGCGACTCATTGATGCACAACTGCCTTCAAAATGAGTTATTTTTCACTGGAAGAGGATTCAGAAATCACATTAGAAAGACAAAAGCAGATGAGAGCATGAAAAAAAAAAACTTTTATCCTCACGAAGGTTTAGTTAAGTCACTGCTCCAGTTCACCGGGTGCTTATGGAAAGACCTTTTAGAAAAAACAGGGTTAAAAATACTAAATCGGGGGTGTTCAAAGTGTGGGCCGAGGGCCATTTATGCTCCCTAGACTGATTCTGTGCGGCCCACTGGCTGACATTCGAGAGCAACACCGTCATCACAGGTGGCTGATGTAGATGGAAACTTCATATTTAATTATTACAAACTGAAATCATGTTAAAATCTCCTTATAGCATTCATCTTTAAATAACCACATTATTTGTAATCTTTGCAAGAACAAGATCCATCCAGTTCCAAAGACAGAGTTTGAATTGTTGACTGATTCACTTTATTATTTCTTTCATGAGGCGCCTGATAAATATTTCTATACCTCCTACGAGTTTTAGCCCTACAATAGTTTACGCATCACTTTCCAACAAAAAACACATCCAATTTATTTGTTTAATTCAACCTTTACATTATTGAATAGATTTTAAAAAAGTGACGGTGTGAGTTTTTATTAAACATATAATTTTTGGGGGGCCTGCGGGTGTTTTTGACTCGACAGTTTTGGCTCACGTTACAAAAGGTTTGGACATCCGTGTACCAAATAATCAGTGCTAGCCAAAAATCCTTCACTAATGCACGTTTCATAAGCAGCGACAGATCTGCAGCCTCACCTTTTTCAGTGAGTGGTAGCACAGGGACAACTCCCTCTCCAAATTGTTGATCTTCTTGTCCCGCCACATTGTTTCTTCATCCAGTTTCTGTTTGGCTCGAGACAGTTTTTCCAATAATCTCTCCTTCATATTGTGGTATTTACTAGACATGATGGACACCAGAAACAGGTGTGATGTAAAAACAGATGCGTTCTAATCACACCAACCTTTAAAAATGGCTGAGACGTTCATTCAAATTGAATTTCACACTAAAAGGACTTTTTGCCCATGTGGCTTCAGCGATGCAGAAACTCCAGTCCAAAATACTTGTTTACATTTTATAGCAACTGAGTCAAAGAACCTGATTATAAATTTCTGTTTTTTTGTGGCACAATTAAAAAAAACTTCCCAACTTTTCTGAAAAAGCAGATCCATAGACAAATCACTAATTCGGGCGCGTTACCTTCGCTCCTCATCAATACAGTTAAGGGCTTTACAGATCTGCTCCTTATAAGTCTCTCGCTCGTCATCATCAAACATCAGAGCCTGCCTTCCTTCGGGACATTCAGAACACTCCTGCATCGCAAAACAAACACAGGAAGAGATGCTGTCGGTATCTTTCCTGAGTGCTCAGCTGGGTCGCTTGTTGCGCGTCCTGAATAACAAACCAGAGTAAAACCTGATCCGGCCGGGTGATGTGGGTTACCTCGAGTGTGGAGCTGTCCTGTGAGGGAAACTCTTCTGTCCTGCTGGACTGCTCCAGCTGTGAGCATTTGTCTCTAACGGTTAGAAAGTCGTTAATGTTGCTTTGGTAATTCTGTAAAACCTGAAGACACTCGTCCTGCAGGGACAAGAAGAAGCTGCATGTGAACAGATACCACATGATGTTTGTTTGTTTTGAATTTCCCCGCTCGCTCGCTCGCTCGCTCACGTCTGGCTGCTTCTCCTCGGGGCAGCTTGTTTGAAAACCGAGGACTTCTTGCTCCTCCTTGCAGGTCTCATCGACCGGAGTTTCGTCGGTTGTCATGAACTGAAAAAATTAATAAATAGATAAGAATCTAGTCATGGAGCAACAGTTTTGGACTTCGTCTCTAAAATATTTGCAGTGTTTATAACAAAAAAAAGATGGCAACAGAGCAACATAAAGAGCTGCAAAAACAGTATTTGCCCCTTCCAGATTTAATCTTGTTCTTTTTTTGCCTCTCTTTATATTACATTTATAGAGGGGGAAAAAAGACATTTAAACCAAACAAAAACAATAACTGCCCATCTTGTCAATTAACAATAAGCGTTGACTTAATACATTGCTTTGTTAGGATAAAAAACACTAAAGTAGG